CTCAGCACTGCCCACCAGCTCAGCACTCAGCACTGCCCACAGCTCAACACTCAGCACTCAGCACTGCCCACAGCTCAGCACTCAGCACTGCCCACAGCTCAGCACTCAGCACTGCCCACAGCTCAGCACTCAGCACTGCCCACAGCTCAGCACTCAGCACTGCTCACCAGGCCCAATGGGAGCCCACACATTTCATAGCCCACAGTCGGCGAATCTTCACCAATACCTAGGTGAATGCATCATGGCTAGGTTACCCAGCATCACGTTACACATCATGTATTTCTAACCCTCTCCAACTGACCACAGCCACAAGGCAGGACCGCTTATTGCACCAGTTATCTCTTTAGAAAACTGAACCATGGCCAGGCACCAGTAGCTCACACCTGTAAATCCTAGCTGCTCAAGAGACTGAGATCTGAGGATCACAGTTCAGAGCCAGCCTGGGCTGGCTCTCTAATCATCCCCAAACCAGAAGCAAGGCTGTGGACCAACTGGTAGAGTATCAGCCTTGAAGAGAAAGAGCTACAGGAGATCACAAAGCCCTGAGTTCAAGCTCCAGTACAGAAAGAAAAGAAAAGAAAAGGTAGGAAGGAAGGAAGGAGGTAAAGAGAAGAAAAGAGGAAGGAGAAAAGAAAACTGAAGTACGGGCCCAGGATGACCCCGGTATCTACATGAGGACACACGTAGGGAACTCCACACATACCCTCAGATGACTTGATGAGATTCAGTCAGAGCAGAGGTACACCAAAAATACTGTCTGGGCCAGGCACAGTGGCTCACATCTGTAATCCCAGCTCCTCAGCATACTGAGATCTGAGGATTGCAGTTCAAAAGCCAGTGGGGCTGGAAAATTTGTGAAAACCTTATCTCCACTTATCGACCAAAATGCCAGAAGAGGGGGTATGACCCAACCACACAGAGTATGAAAGCTAAGGGACAGCGCCCAGGCCCTGAGTTCAAGCCCCAGTAGGCCTTCAGACCAAGTGTATCAGGCTGTGACATGCAAATGAATTCAGTGTTCACACTCAGTTCCTTGCCAAGGAATCTCATGGATGGATACAAATATTTCAAAATCAGAAGCTGGAAGTGTTTCTTGTCCCAGGCATTTCAGCGAGGAGCACCATCAGACCCGGCGCCCACCAGCCCCGGCACCCAGGGCCTCTGTCACAGTCACCCAGAATGTGTCCACAGCCAGCACCCCTCTGACCTGCTCCCTGAGGAGGGCCAGGGGCCTGAGCCACTTCTGACCAAGCTGTGGGATTCCTTGGCTGGCAGCTGAGTGGCCCGTGTGGTGCGACAGGACGCACAGGGGACAGACGTCACCGGAACCCTGTGTGCGTGTCAGGTAGCGAGAGAGGCTCGCGATTGTGATGTCTGTCTCTCCGGCCCCGCGATGCACATTGGAATTACTGTTGCAGAATGCATTATCATTTCCTTCTGTCCACCCCCAACCCCAACGCGACCTGGGAATAGTTGACATTTCCCCCTCAGAAAATCTTCTCGGCACACAGAGCCCGTGGGGCGTCCGCAGATGTGACTCTGAATTATTTAAAAGATGTTTCCCTAAGAATGCAATTATGATTAGAACCAAAGTCTACGCATTTGGTGCCAGGACGCTCGCACAACTTAGGAATGGCACCGAAAATCAACAAAGCCTCGGTGCGCCTGTGGCTGGTTCAGCCTCCGTGTGGAAAGGAACATGGCTCGGACACCAGCTGCTGACAACGTAAGGGCCATCTGGGTGGCCGCGTGGCTTGCAGGGGAAAGCCTCGGGAAAAACCGCTGACTTCCATGGCCACCCTGGCCCAGGGCACTCCTCATGGAGCCCTGACCCTGGGCACAGGTCACGGACACGTCCTCGTGCCTCTTCTCTCTGCCAGGGAGGGCAGAGAGTGTGGCAGGCCTCACGGGTACCGGCCACGCTCCAAGTCCACAGCTCACACTG